CTGAGTGTTGTAATTAGCTTTTCTAATCGTCCTCTTGTGCAGACCCATATGCAGGCACATTTCATTTCTGTCTGATTGTGCGAGTAGATGATAAAGTGTCTCGGTGCTCTGCAGTGGTTCCGATTATTCTCAGCAAATGAGATGACAACGGCTAACTTGATTATATATTCATCTGTGTTTTGTCCATCAAATCTCAGAAATGTTGCGAAGAAAATCTCCATTTCACTTTGGTAAAGGCCAAGGTAATGTCTTTAATTGTCTTCTCAGTAAAAAACATAAAAGATATGCGTTAAATATCAGTGTACTAATATAAAAGGTATCAAGGTATGATGATATTTAATCGAGTGGCCCATGGTGGTGGTGGGGTTATGGTATGGGCAGGCGTATGTTATGGACGACGAACACAGGCCACTCGATTCACAACATTACCCTAACCTTAACCCTAACCCTAACCCTCAAACCAGATACTGACTGGTTTTCGGACCCCCCCAGACCCCCCCAATAAAGCAAAAATGCACGTTTCAGAGTGGCCTTTTATTGTGGCCAGCCTAAGGCACACCTGTGCAATAATCATGCTGTCTAATCAGCATCTTGATATGCCACACCTGTGAGGTGGGATGGATTATCTCGGCAAAGGAGAAGTGCTCACTATCACAGATTTGTTCAGATTTGTGAACAATATTTGAGAGAAATGGTTATTTTGTGTATGTAGAAAATGTTTTAGATCTTTGAGTTCATCTCATGAAAAATGGGAGCAAAAACAAAAGTGTTGCGTTTATATTTTTGCTCAGTGTAGTTGCTCAATTAATCGTATTTTAATCGCAATTACGATTATGGCTTGCAACGATTACGAAAACGTAATCGAAATAAAACGATTATTTTTTTATTATTTATTTTGTATTGGTTTTTCAGTTGAGTTATACTTAAAGTGCAGGATAATCAAACATACTGTTCAAAAAAATATTCTCCAATAAATTGATGTTTTCAAAGTAAATGGATAATCGTGATATCAATTATTGACCCAAATAATCGAGATTATGATTTTTGCCATAATCGAGCAGCACTATTATATAATTAATTCTCACCAATCTCCCCCTCCACTCCTTGTTTTGGGATGCTGATAGATGTCTTTGTGTCAGACTCCAGGCGTCTCCGTGTCTCTCCTTTTTTTCCAATGATGTATCTGCAGAACAAAAACATTATGCTGCTTATAAACAAAACTTCTTGTGCTTTTCAAATTAGGGATGATACACAACAATCCAAACATGTGCATGTTGTTGATAACAACTCACTTGTAAAGAACACTTGGGACTTCAATGGCACAGCGGTATCCTTTATCAGTCTGTTCAATTAACTTTGTGTCACAGGCTTCATCTTCTTCGAGGTATTCACTCTCTAACCAAGTTGAAAACACACATTTATATTACATACATTTATATATGATTGTGTCTTTGATAGGTAATTGTGGCCACAGGCTGACAGCACTGTCTGTGACTAAAAAACAGTTGCTACCAGTGACAGGATTCAATTACCTGGAGGCCCCACGTAAGACACATCTTCTTCTTCTTCCTCATAATGTTCCTCCTTAGAGTCCTTAGTGACATTCCTCCGGTATATTCTCCCATTTATATTGATAAGAGCTGGTCGTAAAACGTCCATAATGTAAAGCAGCTAACGTTAGCTCAACCTAAGTAAACCTCAGAACTGCTCGCTATAAAGTGAGCTAAATGCTCAAGTTAGCAGCCAAGTAAATAAGCTTATTTTGCTTTAAAAACACTTATTTTGCCACGGAATAACTTAACTAGTGAGTTGACACATTGGTTTATGTGCTGTTCGGCAGACAGGGTCCTGGGTTGGCGTTTAGTAGATCTACAAACAGAAATTAACAATCACTCCTGAGAAATCATGCAGGCGAACCATCCACATCACTGTTAAATCATAGGCACGAATGCCGTAGCATAAACGTAAAGTGCTGTCCTTGCCGTAAAGTAGTGGCAACAGATCTTAACAAACAACAGAACCAACTGCACGGAATCAAAGACGAAACACATTCATAACTGAGACATCGGCAGTAAGTTTTATTGTTTTAAATATGGTTGTTATTGCTGTGTTTTATTCAATAGTATTCATGGTAAATGGCAGTTGCCTACATCAGTGCAACAAGAATAGTTAGCTTTCTTGCTAGCCACCTAGCATAGTTGTCGCAGTTAATACATTGATATTTGATTGTACCATTTCTATTTAGATTAGAGAACCTACACAGTTTAGCTATGTCAGGCATGTGTGGCTATGGTGATAACGGTAGCAGTCCATACCTGTGTTCAACAAATGATATGTGTGGTAACCACAGCCACAGTGGCATAACAGTTCATTTTCTTGATGTGTTTTTGAAGGTTTTCTGAGGCAATGGCAGCATCTTCCTCGTCCTCCTCTGCGGGAGGGGTCAGCGGCAGCTCGGTGACCGGCTCTGGGTTCAGTGCTTCAGAGCTCATCCCTCCAAGAAAAGTCCTGTACACATATCCTAAAGGTGCAGGGGAAATGATGGAAGGTGAGATAAATGCTGTGTATGTAATGTATGTATTGTCTTTTATCTGAACGCTGAGTCTGTAATACAGTTTTGATTTATTGAAATCCCACTGTTAAATTCATCTGTCTTTACCTATCTCTCATTTTCCAACAAGGCAGGGGGTCATACAGTGAGATATAGTTAACATATGAGGCTGCATTGATGAACCTGGGCCAAATATGTTAGGGCGTGTTGTGTCAAAAACAACTGGGATTTGAGTCTTGTGCAATTTGTACTATCAGTTCTCAGCATCTGTTAACGGAATGATATATATGCATACGTGCCAAAGTATTTTCTCGGGACAATGCCAGATTCCAAGAAGCCTCTTTTATCCAGCTGTAACAACACAAGTATAATAAATGCAGCTCTTAACTTCAACAACTAAAACTAAAAAGCTGAACCAATGCCAAATTTGATAACTTTGTTAAGACATGTAGCATACAGAACTTTTTTTATTCTAGCCGTTGAGGCAGATGGAAAAGTCAAAATTACCTGCAATGTTTTGTAATGTTGGCTTGTATTTATCTTTTAGAAAGAAACATAGTTTGTTTTTCATCAATGCATTAGCCTCATGTAAAACATATGAATTATTAATAATACATTATCAATGTAGGGCTTTAGTATAGTCTGTGAAGTTGAGCGGCCCGACCAAGTAAGGAGGCAGAGGCAGAACGTCCAAATACAAACCCGGTGTGGGCATTTATTCATCACTGACAACTACAACTCACTACAAGGCCCGAAGCCGTCAGTCCACAGTGACGAAGTTACCCTTGTCACATAGTCATAGCACACATCATTTGTCATCTTTTTTGACTGAATTCCCATAAAGTGCTGTGAAATATTAATTGTCAAAGTGAGGTATTGGTAACGTTTTTATCATTAGCCTCATTGCCAATGCCACTGACATGGGATTTGTGTATTGGATTGTATCGTAAAAGCTCCTCACTTCACTGCCTCTATAGCTCGAAATACAATAACACCAATGTTTTGATTTGCCAAATTGCTCCTGCTTTTCCTCTTTGTTTATTTAAAACCTCTGAATGCTGATAATTCACAATATTTAACCTGAACTTCTCTTTCTTTCTCACATCAGTGAACTATCAGCTGAGCTTCAATTCTGTCTTCACAAGCATAAAACTTCTTTATTTTTTTGTGTTCCCTTTTAGATGGCACTGACAGATTTTTATGCGAGTCTGTATTCAGCTACCAAGTCGCCTCCACACTTAAACAGGTCAAACGTGGTAAGTCAGTAACTGTGTTTATAAAAAATATGTTCATTTGTCTTGATCCATTAACAAATTGGTACACTAGTAAAGTAACAATTATGTGTTCTTCCAGATCAACAAATGTCTAGACTGGAGAAACTTGCAAGCTTGGTGGAAGAGCTGGAAGCAGATGAGTGGCGGTACAAACCAATTGAACAGCTATTGGGATTCACGCCGTCTTAAATAAAGAGACCCAGATGCCTTGATTAATAAATTAGCCAAATAAAAAGAGATGGTTTATTTCAGTTCATAAATTATATTAATTCTTAATGATTTATTTCATATTATAACTGTGGACTATTATCTGGAGATACTGAATGTGAGTTTTATTATTTAACTTTACCTATTGTATGAGTGTTTTTTTTAAACAACCTGTTATATTTTACCCATACTATAAGAAACCACTTATTACTGACAAACCAAACAAAAAAACTTTTTTAGGCTAATAAAGTTGTTTTGTCAATCCAATTTGCTTTCGGCATCGGTGTTACAAGAGTTATTATTTTTCCCTTGAAGTGAGGCATTGTATTTCCACATGGCTGCACTGTAGCTCATAAATCTAAAACCTGCTGCCTGCCTTCTCCTCGTCGCTGCTCGCTCCAACAACACTTGGAGCAAAAACAAAGAGGGCTTGTAAATAAAGTCATACTTGGATATTCTTTGTCTTGTGTTTTTTTTGTATAGTTTGTTCCTAACCCACTTTGCTGAGTTAGTTCCTGATGAGTAGAAACTAAATCGTTGTGCTTTTGTATGTTCAAAATGTACAGCTTTAGATTTGTTGAGCCAAAGTCAGAAACCAACTGATTTTGCCTTTGTCAGTTTTTGCTCAAATGAGAGCAAAGAAAGGGTGGTGTTTTCCTCAGTGAATGGATGTTCTCTAACAATGATGGGGTGGGGACGAACATAATGTACTGTTCTTGCCGCTAAGGCCAGCCCTGAACATTAAGACACACCCATATCTGCAGCTCCCTTCCAAGGGTTCAACTATTTTGTACATAACACTTTTTAGGAATTTACTTTACAAGTTGTTTGCTCAAACTATTTCCTGGCATTACATGTGCATCTGAAGACTTCAACTTCAGTCTGAAATCTTTGTGTATGTAAAAGGAACAAACATTTCTTTATACTGATTAAACTTCTCGATGACTCTTAATTCATCACTTCCCCCTCAGAACATTCTGTACCTTCACATGTTTACGTCTTTAAGTTCCTCCCAGACTTTACACAGTCCGCCCCACTTCGGTAACAGAACAGAAACTGGCTTCTTTCCAAAAATCTAAAATCTTTAAGCAAACATTGAGTGCGTCATGTACAGTGCGGCCCTGGCAGACAGGAACAACAGCAGCAGTTTCTCCTTTGAACCCTTACAAGTTTTCTTTGAATTAGCTTGAGTTTCAACCTGGCTTGTATGCCCTAATTTACTCATCTTTAAAATGTCAGTCCCATGCATTGTTTTTGTAAGCCATAAACCTCTTTGATAACATCAGAACACATTTTGTGAAATAGAGGAATAATGAAATAGCACAGAGTAAGCTATTCTTATGCTGCATCCCTATTACTCTGCATGTTTTCATTGTTGTTTTATATGAGGCCAAATGAAAGAAGATGCACATATTTGCATATAAAATTCATTTATCAGCATATTATCATCAGCTACTAGTTTTGTATTTTGCAGCTGAATGTGTGTTGTTTGCACCTCTCAGTGGTAGATACAAAATTCTGATGTAATGCTTTAGCAAAACAGGTGACGTAATGTTCACTGCAACACTCAACCAGACCAGCCTGCATGGATTTTATTCAATGCTATCGATACATGCACTGGATGTGTTTCATTTGTATATGCTTATAAAGGATATTGAATAAAGAAACATATTATGTTATCCTTGCAAGCCCAGGCATGTCCCTGTATATTTCCACAACACTGGGATCTGCTATTCATCACCCTAGCCCCCCTTCTCCTCCTCTTGTTTTTCTTTCTTCTCTGCTGGCATGTTACCAGGCAAGATACAGATCCGAAGCCGTGCCTCTCTTTTTGATTGGCTGGCTGGATGTAAATAGGCGTGGCCTAGCAGCCTGTATATAACCATTGTTGCGAGGATAAACCGCAGAGCTCGGCAGCTGGTCTTTGAATGAGGAAGTATAGTGCATAGAAGTTACCAGATGGTTATTTTTGCAGACAATAAGCCTTCAAATACCCTCCTAAAACGTCGACAACGGACTTCAACGGCACCGTTGTCAAATAACCTGTAAGTACTATGTCACCGTTGATTATTTTGTCGGCTTGGTTTAAAATTTAAACAGTTTAACAGTTGCTAGCTACCGTTAACAAAGATCTGTCACTCTGTAAACTTGTCATTCAACCTTAACAATCACTGAAAACGCATGTTACTTGTGGGTTAAATTATCCTTTATTTAACTTTTGAGTTGTGTATTTTCGCTCGAGTTTGAGTGCTTATCTGTTGTCTTTGTCTCCTCACTAACAGCTGACCACAGAAGCAGCTGATACTGAATTCTGCAAAGATGCCTGCTCTCTCTTCACCCACTGATATCGGCTGCTCACCCCCGTCCCCAGTGGACAGCAGTCCTAGGAGGCTGTCCTGGGGCAAACTTGTGCAAAGATTGGCTGATTTCAGCACATCTGCCAACAACAGCAGTATTGAGTCTGGGTCCAACAATGGCAGCAGGAGTGATCTCTCAGAATCAGGTAAACAACAGCTGCAATTTTTCTTACACTCATTCAAATGATCTCTAGTCCCTTTTTTTTTTTTTTTTTTTTGTCATGTTCCCATTTCTTACCCCATTGTTGTTTGCCAACAGGGTCAGATGTATGCGGTGACCTGTCTCCTTGCAATGAAGACCTGTTTTATGATCCAATGGAGGAGACCATTCTGAAAGAAGTAGTGGACCTTATTGCAGGAAGCCTGAAAGAAGCCAAAGACTCTGACTGTGCCTTGAGGTGCTCCAAACTGCTGATCCCTGAGAAACTTCTGGAACACATCGGACAAGAGCTCCTTCACCTGGCAGCTAGTGAGCC